AATGTGGAATGTTCACCTCGAAATTTTGTTGGTTTACCTTACATAGGCTAGAAGTAAAAAGAAATGCTAATTAGAAATGAAGAATAACATTGAAAGAACAAGTTTCATAAAGAGAACCTAGGTATATGCTTATTGCAGTTAAGAGAATATGCTACAAGCACTGTTCATTTGTTTTGCAAGGTGATCGATCTAAATTAATTTTACGTATGCCGCTGCATAATCAGTGATGTTAGCAATTTTACTCTTGCACTTGCAACAGAGAGGATACTAATATCTGCTGCATTTTAACATCGTTCCACTACACAGCACCCACAGTACTGCTCATTTTATTACATTTTTTTCAAAGCCATCGTGTTCAGTCTAATTACTTTCCGTTGACAAGAATTTGTAAATTAAATTTTGTTTTAATTACGTGTGTGCATTACATTTTTAGTTACTCGAGCTGAGCGGTCTGTAAATTTTATATTGCTGATTATTGCATCCATGTTTTCTTCGTGATCGGAGGGATTTCCATCACACAGGCCTACGAGTTAAATTCTGGTAGTAAGAATTAGGCCTACAATTTAACCAAGAAAATACATAAATCAGTAGATAATTATGTAATTTTTTACGGAACATCACAACCTTCAAAATTTCACCATCACTATTATCATCATCATTTACGCCGTCATCGTCATAGTCATCATCCTGTGAAGTGTTAGATCAAGTAGTCTGCTACAGTTTCAGTCTCAAGTTTCCATTCCCTTATGCTAGTATGCCAAAATTTCCATGGTGTTACGAAAAGGCCGTGTTAGGTGGGTCACTTTACGCCACGGTATGGTACGTCCTCAGGCTGCGGATGAACGAGATGCCCTCCAGATATGGAAGGTAGCTGTGAGTTGTGGAGTGCAGACAAGCGGTGTTCCTCCAGCTTGGGTGTTGGGCGTGTGGCTAAGAATTCGTCACTTTAAAAATAAGCTTGTTACGAAAGATCACAAGAAGCATCGGACCTGGACGAATTCTTTGGATAAACGACCCAAGCGAAAGAAAATGGATATGAGATTTGGTACTTGGAAAGTTAGAAGTATGTATAGGGCAGGTTCGCTCAGGGCAGTGGCGGAAGAAATCTCAAAATATAAGTTAGACTTAGCGGGAGTACAGGAGGTCAAATGGGAGGGAGATGGCACCGAAAAAGCAGGCGAGTGTACATTTCTCTATAGGAAGGGAAATGGGAATCATGAATTAGTTACAAGTATTTTTACATAAGAGAATCCTACCAGCAGTTAAGAGGTTTGAGTCTGTTAGTGATAGGCTGTCATACATAACATTAGGAGGTCGCTGCTGTGATATCATTGTTATGAATGTCCACGCCCCAACAGAAGATAAAATTGATGGAGGAGAGCTTTTACGAGAAACTACAACATGTAATCGATAAATTCCCTAAATATCATACGAAAAATTTGTTAGGAAAGTTCACTGTCACAGTAGCTAAGTAGGGAAGATATTTTTAAACCAACGACTGGGAACGAGAGTTTGCATGAAATTAGTAATGATAATGGAGTTGGAGTAGTTAATGTTACCATATCCAAATATCTCGTTGTGAAAAGTACTACAATGTTCCCACATCGTAACATTCATAAATTTACTTGGGACATCTTCTGATGAGAAGACCCACAACCAAATTGACCACACTTTGATAGATACGAGACGGAATTCAAGTCCACTTGATGCCTGATCGTTCAGGACACTAGGTTATGATACTGACCACTATCTGATGGTGGCAAATTCAGGAAAAGACTGGCAGTGAGTAAACGAAAATGCACAGAGTTCATATGTAGGGGTTCAATCTCACAAAATTAAACGAGGTAGAGGACAAAGAACAGTACTGTGTAAAAATCTCAAATATATTCGTAACTTCTGAAAACTTAGACACTGAGGTGTACGTTAATAAAGCTTTGGTAACTATTAAAGAAAATGTCAAAACTTCTGCCAAAGAGATTCTAAGTTATTATGAACTGAAGAAGCATAAGAAATGGTTCGATGAAGGATGCTGAAAATACGTAGACAAAGGAAACAAGCCAAATTGCAGTGGTTTCAGGATCAAAGCGAGTTAAATGGGGATAATCTGAACAATATAAGACGCGAAACCAGCAGACATTTCAGGAATAAAAGAGGTAGTACCTGAAAGATAAAATTGATGAACTTGCAACGAACAGTAAGAACAAGAATAGTAGAGACCTGTATAGAGGAATAAACGACTTCAAGAGGCGTTACAAATCTAGCAGTAACTTAGTGAAGGTTGAGAATGGTGACCTGCTTGCAGATTTCCATAAGATTTTTAATAGGTGGAGGAACTACTTCTCTCAGTTATTGACTGACCATAGAGTCAATGATGTTACGTAAATAGAAATACATACAGCTGAGCCCCTTTGAAATTGAAATTGCTATTGCAATATTGAAAAGTTATTAATCGCCAGGTAGTGATAAAATTCTGGCAGAACTTATTCAACAGGAGGTGAAATATTATGTTCTAAGGACCAAAAGATTATTAATTCTATTTGGATTAAGGAAAAATTGCCTGATCAGCGGAAGGAGTCAATTATTGTACCAGTTCACAAGCAGGGTGATAAAACTGACTGTAGTAATTATCGGGGGATATCACTGCTATCAACTTCATATAAAATTTTGTCCAATATTCTTCTCTCAAGGTTAAGTCCATATATAGATGAAATTATTGGGGATCATCAGTGTGGGTTTCGACATAACAGATCAACTACAGATCAGATCATTTGCATTCGTCAGATATTGGAGAAAAAATGGGAGTACGATGAGACAGTACATCAGCTATTCATAGACTTCAAGAAAGCCTACGATTCAGTTAGGAGGGAAGTATTGTACAATATTCTGATAGAGTGTGGGATACCCATGAAACTAGTTAGGTTGACTAAAAAGTCCGTGTAGCTAAACATTTGTCTGATAAATTTCCTATCCAGAATAATTTAAAACAAGGAGATGCTTTATCCCTACTTCTTTTCAACTTTGCCTTAGAATATACAATTAGGAAGGTCCAGGGAAACCAGGTGGGACTGAAATTAAATGGGACATATCAGCTGTTGGTCTCTGCCGATGATGTGAATCTAATGGGTGATAATGTAGATATCATAAAGAAAAACACATAAACTTTAATTGATGCAAGTAAAGAGGTTGGTCTAGAAGTAAACACAGAGAAAACTAAGTAGGGTAAGGTTGCTATCGATGGGCCGGCTCCTTCGATGGGCCACCTCCATTATTTTGTAGTTATTGACAGTAGGCTCTACATTGTGACTGTTTANTATATGTTGCTGTCTCGTCACCAAAATGCAGGGCGAAATCATGACATAAAGAGAGAAAAAAAAAGATATTTTGAAAATGTGGCACAGTTCAGATATTTGGAAACAACGACAACAGATCGAAACCTGATTCAGGAGGAAATTAAGAGGCGATTGAACTCGGGTAATGCTTGCTACCATTCAGTCCAGAATCTTTTGTCTTCTCGTCTGTTGTCCAAAAACATAAAAATGAGAATATACAAAACTATAATTTTGCCTGTGGTTCTGTATGGGTGTGAAACTAGGTCTCTGACATTAAGGGAGAAACATAGACTGAGGGTTTCTGAGAATAGGGTGTTGAGGAGAATATTTGGACCAAAGAGAGATGAAATCACAGGAGGTTGGAAAAACTGTATAATGAGGACCTTCATAACTTGTACTCTTCTCCAAGTATAATTAGAATGATCAAGTCAAGGAGGATGAGGTGAGTAGGGCATGTAGCACGAATGGGGGAGACGAGGATGCGTATAGGATATTGGTGGGAAAGCCAGGTGGAAAGAGACTACTGGAAAGACCAAGGTGTAGGTGGGTGGACAATGTTAGAATGGATCTTAGAGAGACAGGATGGGATGGTATGGGTTGAATTGATCTGGCTCAGGATAGGGACCAGTGAAGGGCTCTTGTGAACAGGGTAATGATCCTTCGGGTTCCATAAAATGCTGGGAAATTCTTGCGTTGCTGCAGAATTGGCAGCTACTCAAGAAGGGCTCAGCTCCATTGTGAATTACGGAAAGAAAAGTTAAGTAAAAAATGTGCCAAAATAAGGTAAGTGCTTCACAAATTTGCTGGTGGTCTCTTTCCTTTTGACATTCCCAGCAGAATCCTTCATGCATTCGTCTTCTTTATATGCGTGCTACATGCCATGTACATCATATCCTCCTTGACTTGTTTGTTCTAATTATACTTGGAGAAGAGTACGAGTTATGAAGATACTCATTATGCAGTTTTCTCCAATCTTCCATCACTTCATCCCTCTTCGATCCAAATTTACTCCGCAACACCCTGCTGTCACATTACTTCAGACAATATTCTTCCCTTAATGTCACGATCACGTTTCACACCCATACAAAACCATACTCTTTGTTTTATTAAAGGATACTGGCTCCTCGGTGTGAGAGTCAGCTTTGTTTCCCAAGTTTTAATGTGCCGCGTTTGGTGTACTTTTGTCCCTGCCTGGTAACAAGATAGGTTAGCCGAAGTGTAATAGTGACAGCCCAAATTAATCAGAGCTCTCGTTTCACGTTCGTCCTGTTACAAGATTTCAGCGTGGTTACACAACAATAAAAATAAATCCCAGTCAAAGTGGATCCCTCTTGACAGTATAAATTAGCTGAGCTATTCCAAAGCACATCATTTACCCAAGCGGTAACAGTCTTGGATTGTCAGTCGATTCCAAGCATGGAAGTGGGGTTAGTAGACTGACCGTGATTGGTTGTTCGCTCGATGACGTCGCGCCCCCTTTATGCTGGCTCCGCCCCATCCAGGACCCTTAATATACAGTAGGGGAGGGGTAATGTGAATTCCGTTGCTAGCAAACAAGCTGTTGGAAGAGTAAGCTCTAAATCTTTTTTGACTGAAGAGGGTGAGTAGAGGGGTAGTTTTGTGGCAGTGACAGGGCAGTCTCCGGCAGGCAATGGAGGCAGACAGCAGCGAACAGGGTGCGACGGATCTGGTCACGGCCAGGATGTTGTTTAGCGGGCTGCCGGTTAAACCTCCGCCGTCACAACAGCCAGGGCCCCGACACACCATCGACGCGATCCTCGGGCTGAGCAACCGGCCGTCGGAGCCAGGCGCAATCGAATCCAGCGGTGAGTAGCACGGACTCTGCTATCTACCTCTGTTTGCATCTTCACACACACAAACACTCTGGTTTATGGGTCAGCATTTTTTTTTCTTCTGGTCCAACGCCATGATTTGATTTGCACCTACTTCTTTTATTTCATTAAACCAATTAAGGAATGAAATCATCCAAATAACATTTACAAAGTTAGTTCCAGCTTATAGAAAGCAAAGTGCTACAGGTTCTTCAGAACTTCTGTACCTATCTATCAAATTACTCGGCTTCTCGCTCTAAAATAACGTAATCTTGACACTGAGTGTCCATAATTAAGATTGATGTTTAAGGAAATAATAGCATGAATTCTGATATTTATAAGAAATAAGCCTACTGAAGGTAAAATGCAAAGATTTAACATAGAAATAAACTATATACAACTGTTTTGTTAGATAGTTAACAATGCATTCTCTACTGCGTAAGATAGGGATAAGATTGTAATGACAAATTGGAAATGCTCGTGAGTGACGGATGGTAAGAAAAAACGTGGAAGTTGTCATGATCGTAAGGCACTACTGCAGCTGTCTTCTGAAGGAATTAAAAAGAAAAAACATGAAACACCTAGGTCGATTAAGCTGGCTCAAGAACCGAAACCTGGACCTGGCGAACACAAACGTCCTAATCACTGTACCGAGGAAGTTAGGTTATAAACCTGTCTCTTCAAGTGAACTATAGAACCATCATTTCTAGACTGAATTAGGTACACATGTTCGTTAGACATATCCTTGACATTCTTGGACTTGAAATAATGGGCACTCTTTCTGGGATTGATACAGAATAAAGAGGTTCTACTGCACAAGTAATGAAAATAAATCACAGAATACAATGATTAACCTCCTTGAAATAAAACTGACTATTTAAATCAATGTGGGATTCGAGACCAAGACCTCTGCTCCTGTGTACGTTTAACACTTTGAAAGATCTGAGTGTTGAGCGCTGAATCTTTGGTGGAGATGTGAAGATTGTCTCTTTAGTATCGACGGGTTTATCAGTCTTATCGAAATATCGATTTTCACTCTTCAGTTTTTGTTCTGTTCTGGCGAAACTGGTTATTAACCACAAACAAACACCCATTTTAATCAAAATGTAACATTGTTTGTTTTATGGAAGCTGTGTGGTTAAACACGTTTAAGGCCGGTATGGACAAAAGTCAGACAAAAAGCCTACCGAGATTTTGCTCTAGTACAAAGGATACGTTGCAATATCAGAAATAAAAATGCCTACCGTTTACTACCAGTTTCCATGCTGGACTTATTCCAAATATTACTTTGTCAACATATATTATTTCCATAGAATGCAGTCTATACTTCCTGTAGTTCAAAAGCGTTCCTATGCTAGGAATTACCTAAGCTAATATTTAAGCAGTACAGGCATATTTTCATGGTATTGTTGAAAAGCGTCTCCATTTTAGATTTCACTAAAATTCTTTATACGAGCTTAGTGTGCATAAATCCATGGAGTGTATCCTATAATTTATATTTTTAACAAATCGATGTACAGAGACACAGAAAAATGAATTTTTTCTCCTCAAGTAGTACATAAGCTAAATTAAAAATAGAGTGGTCAGTGATTCTGAGCCAGATATTTGGTACATAGCCTAAACATTTATACTATAAATTAATTATGATGAAAATTAAGAACTCGAATTTTTTTTCTTTTGTACTACAGACAGGTTCTTGTGTAGTTCCTGTTAATGATCTTAGACTCGTATATTTAATTTGAAAAATATTTCAAAATTATAGAATGTTATTTCGAGATATGTAAGTTATCTAAAAATGTTTTTGAAATAAACTATTTTAAAACCGTGTAAGATTTGAGGTTTTCGCGGCGGTGACTATAAAGAAAGCAGTCTTCTGGGATGTGGAGACGTGTAGATATTGTGTTAACTGACGTTTCGGAGGAAGGTATCGCCTACAACTTCAGGGTAGAAGAAAAGAGTCTGTTAGCACCTGCTAAGCCGGTTCCTGCTCGCAGTCTTTCTTCATTTTTCTTCTACCATGATAATGGAAGTGATGCGTTCCTCCGAAACGTCGGTTAACGCAACATCTATACGGCATCACATCTCAGAAGACTGATTTCTTTTTTATTTTAAAACCATTCAACAAAATCACTGTCTATTTGAGAATCAGCATCATTCGTATATATCCAGACGTAAGAGTTTATAAAAATTCTAAAAGTGAATACTTTGTCGAATTTGAGTTTCGCACACCTGTGGCAATAAACCGTCCTCTCTTGTTGGATATGACAACGTGTATTGCCCTAGAATTTCAGAGACTTTCCAGAGCAACGTACCGCCTTCACCGAAAATATGCTAAGCGAGCCTTGACAGCCTAGCTTACCGCTTGTTTTTCGTTGTTGCTTGCTTGGCATATCTTCAACTTTGAAGATGGAGGAAGTAAGTTCCTCAGAGACGTCAGTGGAATTCTATAGTAGGATTACACGGTGTCACATCCCAGATGATGGTACTCTTCATCAGTACTTTCATCAGACGCGCACAAATTAATGAAATTCATTTCTGTTTAACAGGCCTGAATATTCAATATGGTTCAAAAAACTTCACGTTTAGACCTATTTTTTTGAGCATTACATTCAGTGGTGTATATCGCATTGTATTTTACTTACATTTATATGAGGAAATTATAGGATGATTTTATTGCTTCGAAATTAATTAATTGTAAACAGTCTCACTCACTTATATTGACTGAGTAAGACTTAGATCAGTTTTAAGAAACTGATAGTTCCGTTGCCTAGTAAGAGCCATTTGTGTATTTAAGAGCACTGTTATAGCTAAGAATAAAAGACAAAAACAGATAGTGGGAGGTTGATTATTAAATAATTAAATCAAAATTATTTATAAGAAATTGGCCGCGGCCTATAATCCTAAACGGAATGAGGATAACCAACAAATATCCTCAGTTAACATACTCCATATCCGGTATCCAGGACCGAGATTTCAACCCGGAACCTATGGAATACATAGGTACTACCTGCACAGGCGCACTCATGTCAATAGCAGCCTTCAGGCCTCTATAAGTTCCGGAAGCAAAAATAAGTGAATAAAAACTATTTTAAAAACAGATGTACCTACCAACGTGAATCTTCTTCCGAAAATGTAAATTTCACCTGGACTAAATATGTTTTATATTGTTACAACAATATACATTAATATAATACCTAACAATAATTTCCCTTAAAGCGAAACAGATATGAAATACGTCATATGGTGTTACTTAACTAGTTGCACAGTGGCTGTGAATACAGCGTGTTCTAATTGTACTTGATAGAAATATTTTTTGCAGTGAAATCAAATTAAAAATTATTTGCTCGACATTTCGAGTAAAGTAAAAGCTAAAGACAGACTTAACTGTCGTAATTTAGGAATTATAGGCGAATATAATTTCCATTCTAAGATAATTCCTGAAGTATGCTTATATGTACATGTTGCTTGGTTCTCTAAACTTTACTCAAGTGATTGAGTTTTTCAGGCCACAGATTTCAACAAAATAAACAGTATACTCCTATAGGAACAAAGAAATATGGGAGTTTGTAGGCCTGTGTGCATGTTCTATTTTATTGGAAATATATTAACTTCAGTGCAAGTGTAAAAGAAATAAGATTCAGCTACTAAGAGCTATAATCTCATATTTACTCATATAGGCCCCAGGTACTGTGTATTGTATTGTATTGTATTGTATTGTATTGTACTGTAATGTAGGATAATATGGTAATGTAATGCAACACAAATCATGTGTCTTAAAATTTATACGATATTAAAATCTAATTTCTTTTGCTTTCTTACCAAAGTAACTTTAGAAATGAGATAAGAAAATACAAGAATACAAAACATGAGTACATAATGCCATATCATGTGACTCAGCATATTTGATTTACGTAGAAGGAAAGCATTTCATCTTTTAATCCTTAGAATCTAATTAATCTGAAGTCTGTAACAAATATGTTAAGAACAACTGCTGTCACAATGGCAGAAGGAAGAAGATTAACTGAAAGGTAATGACCCTACAGTTGTTTGAAATTAGGAAGAAATAAGAATATTGATATTTCTTATTGATCTGTGCAACTGTAGGGATGACCGCTTATCTCGTCTGTTTGTGATACATTTACTTCTGGAAACACTGGATTTCCTTGTGATTGTTCCAGGATTTGAAAATTTAAATGCAGTTTATAAATGTAGTCACTCTATGAAAAAGGTAGTATTCTGAGATGTGGCACCGTGTAGATGTGGTGTTAACCGACTTTTCGGAGGAACGTATCGCCTCCATCTTCCGGGTAGAAGGAAAAATAAAAAATTCGCAAGCGAAGAGACCGTGAGAAAGGGTACAAGCAGAGTTACTTCGAAATAGATTCACCTGGCCCTTAAGTAATTATTCAGCATTTACCTATAAAAAACTATTTCCTGTGTGTGCAGTGCAGTGTCCAGCAAGAATAACTTTATAGTAACCTTGTCTGTAGTAAATTAATCTGGAAACCAATGATGCAACAGAAGAAGGCAGAATGCTTCTGGAATGTATCGGTAGGTATGTCAAACATGGCAGCCAGGGACAGGTCAGGGAGCATAACCACGATCTCAGAAAAATCCAGACCTCAGACGCCGTGGCCTTCAATATGTCATCGTAGAAGACTGCTCTGTTATGTGTTTATCAATATTACTAACAACTCACATGACGATAGTAATTAGTGCTGACATATGCAGGTATCTTGTAGACTAAACCTCCCAGCAAAAGCCAAAAGACCTCATCACATTTCCTGTTCCACAAAAATTCCTGCACACATGTTCTTTCACTGTTAACATCTAGTTCCGTCATTTAGAAACACCGTACCTATTTGCCATAATTGTTCCAATAATTCTTGATCATATTCCTAGAACGGTACATTGTTTATTTTTACGCAGTAAATTTTTTCCTCTCTCCATGGGTCTACAGCCCTTTGAAATATGGTCGCTTTTCAGTTCCTTAT